CTATATAAGTAGTGTTTCAGGTAGAGAAAAATGTACGAGAGTTAATAGAAAATTCATTGTAAACACATAGATTCAGCTACATCTTATGAGAGTCGATTAGGGTTCTTGAGAGTTTTGTAATTTTCCATTCAATAAAGAAAGCGCCGTCGATTTCTGTTTCATCTTCTTCTTCTACAAATCTCTCTTGAATTTCTTCATTATATTGTTCTATTGTCAGATCTGGGTTTTAACAAGTGGTTCCACGATTGAGATGACGACATTTTAAATTAAAATTTTGAGAAGAAAACTGACTAGAAAGATAATCGACAGAAAAGCGAAGTCCAGATTACGTAAGAGCAAACGTTTTAAAATTGAGAAAAATATGAGTGAAAATTCTTTTAAAACGAATAATCAAAAAAAAATTAAGAGTAGAATCTAGTTGGATATCGATCGATTAATCAATGAATTTGATTAGCAGACTCTGATACCAATTGTTGAACCCAGATACTCTTAATTGGTAGAACACAGTTTATAAAATATAAAAATTAAACTCAAACAGTGTAATCTTGACTGATTAAACGAGATATTCAAGATGAAATTAAGAACAATAAATAAACTTGAATATGTCGTATGCTTTTATTGATAGAAAGATAAACAATGAAAGCACAAAACTTAATCTCACAGAAAATGTGTATAGTGTAAGTCGGTTCTTTCAGGTAGTTTAAACCTGAGGCGGAAGCCTCCTTATATACGCCTAGGTCTAACAAACTATGTTATATAATAGGCGTGAAATTCTGAGCTGACGTCTGCATCCTTATCTTTGACTTCCCTTGAATAGTGAAGCAGACTTGGTCAAGCCACCTTAAATTTGTTAAACGCTTGCGAGAAAGTCTGGGCTAACACGCGCGCGTTCCATAGAGAAGGTAGCCAGAAGCTCTGCATGAATATACAGAAGCTCTGCATGTACTATGCAGAGGCTCTGCATGTACTATGCAGAGGCTCAGTGTCTTGGAGTCGTAGCTTTAAGTCAAGCGCTTATGCTTTTTGGCGCACAAGGCTTGAGCGCCCATGGGGATAGAGCGCGGGCTCTGTATGAATTGAACCTTCACTCTTGAGTAAGAGCTTTGGTTCTTGATCTTCTGCATGAGAGCTCTTATTCCAGAATGCTTCAAATAGACTAAGTCCTATTCGACTAGAGTAAGAGACTTTTTACTTACACTTTCACAAGTTGGGGTCTAACAAAAACAAAATCATTTGTAAAATAATATATTAATTTTATGTTCAAATATTATAAAAAAAATAACATCCATCATTAAAATAGATCAACAATAAAAATAAAACACACTATAATCAATTTAACATAATTAAACCTTTTGAATAATAATAGAAAAAAATTTACTACTACATTTCATGACTATGGTTTCACAGTTTTATCAATACACAAATCAACGTAATGCTAGATGAGAAATTTGTCATTTTCAAGTTTCTGGTAGATGGATTCGTTTCAGTCTAATTATGAAATGGTTTCACTGTTTACTAATAAAAACATGTTCTTAACAATTATGAAATGGTTTCTCTGTCGTTATGCACCCATTTCATCGACAAAGTTTTTGCAATCCGAACATGTTTCATAGTTTCATCGATACACAAATCAACGTAATGCTAGATGAGACATTTGTCATTTTCATGTTATTGGTAGATGGATCCGTTTTAATCTAATTATGAAATGTTTTCACTGTTCGCTAATTACACAACATTTTCTTAACAATTATGAAATGGTTTCACTTTCGTTATGCATCCATTTCATCGACAAAGTTTTTGCAATCCGAACACGTTTAATAGCGTCAATACATTTACCATTACAGGCTTTGTTAACCATTAAGTGAACAAAATCATACAAAAAAATGAAACAATTTCATCAATAATCGTTGATAAGAAAACAAGATTATCCAAAAATATTATACTACGCAACGAGTTCATGCCCAAAAGTTTCATAAAACAAGCTCCTCAATGAACGTTTTCACGAAACAATCTGCATACTTTTCATAAAACAAGCTTCTCAATGAACGTTTTCATGAACAAATCTAACATGAATCTGTTTCACAACTGATTATATTTTTACCGGTTCATTAATCTTAGTTTGGATCTGTTACGGAAATCGTGAATTAATGAATATAATAATTTTCGATTTTCATATTATTATCACTAATAAACCGAGAAACCAAATAACAATGTTTAATTTTTTAAATTGTAATTTAAATAAACATTTAAATATTATGATTTCTAAAATTTTCTTTATTATGTTACCTTAATTAAAATCTCTTAATAACTTCCATATTTAATCGAAAACAATGTAAATGACAATTCTACTCTTAATGATTAAATTTAATTAAGAATTTTTTTTTCCTATTAGTCGAAATTAGTTTACACGGTTTCTAATAATTAGACGGTTTTCATTTGATCTCGCCTATATATATATATGCCTACTTTATTAACTTCCAAATACAGAGAGGCTAACATTTTAGACCTCCATCTTTTTACTGTTTTAGTGTTGTGTTGGAGATAAAAATACCTATTTTTTATGTTTTTAGTGTTTTTAGTATTGCATCGGAGATGGTCTAATATAGAACTTATTTACTATAATAGACATCTATTAAACCATAGAAACTTGAAATAAAAAAATCCAACTATTATACCACATAAGTTAATAAGCACTTTTACAAAAAAACATAAGTTGTTTTAAATAAGCAATTCCAAACACCCCTTAAATATATATTTCAAAAATCAGTTTTCCTCAATAATAATTGAATGAAATAATATCCTTTTATACGCAGTTGCCTAATATTAAGGGGGAAATTACATATTACCATTCATTAGGATATAAAAACAAAAATTTAACGCAAAATTATTTGAATAAATAAGTAATTAAGTCGTTGAAGTTATTATTTGATAAACTAGTTGATAAGTTAGCTGATGATTGATAAGCTAACTCGTAATTGATAAGTTAGTTGATAACTGATAAACTAGTTGATAAGTTAGCTG